TTATGAGAGAATTAAAGAACTATAATTGAAAGTTGTATGTGTTTCACAACCGAATCTTTGAGTTGAACAGGAAGTATAGAAATATAACACTACTAAGTGGTACTCTCTCAATTATTGCAATATTGAGAACAATCAAAGAAACATTCAAAAGGACAGTGAGTAATCTTGATTACTGCACCTCGATCTCATAGTCGAGCATTTAGGCTAGTATCCTTTAATGGGTCTGGAGTCCTCACAGAAGTGCTGTTTGCTTCACTTCCCACTTTTCTGGAGGCTGCACTCCCACTTGTTTCTTGAAAACAAAGGTAAGACAATGATTGCAGCCAAGAAACTAAAGTGGGTTTGCGCGTAACATCATCAGATTCTGCAACCTGTGAATATAACTCATTTAGAATCATATTCTGGCCATCTTTTGGTAGTTGGGCGATTAGCTGTGCCAACAACTTCATCAAGTCTGGCAGTACCTGAACACGTAAATGCTAATGTTCAGTAAAGTTTAAAAATCAAAGTTGAGAGAGACTCATAACACCTTTTGAGACAACTTTATTCCATCAACACTGCCAATATATGCAACGCTCATGGTAAATTGCAAAGTCATTACTTCTATACCAAGTGTTATGCAAACAAACTAGGGTATTGAAGCCAGATATTCAGATGCAGAACAAAAATGAAGAGGAAAACAGCAGTAAACTTTTCAGAGGGAAACCAAACTTATGTAAGTAAAAGAGACAAAATATGAGTTCACCTGTATATCAACCAGGGAAATCAGCCGTAAAAGTAAGTCTAGGATTTTCTTGCCAGGCTCCGACTCTCCTTGCCAGTTCTTCCACATATCATCCTGGTGAGCTAAGTATTCAATGCAGAGCCTATTAGCTTTCTCCACAAGACAATGGACACAATAAAATATGGCTGGGCTTCCAGCAGGAAGATGTCGAACCAAGGCTGCAACTCCAGAAGCCAGTCCCTCAAACGGAGTAATCTCAGGATATTCCTGCAGTCATGTCAAGGAAAAGATTTAGCATTTGGTACCTTTAATTGATGAACCTCAAGAACCATTATAGTCATCATCTGCTTTAGATACCACTAGTGATCTCTGTATGTAGTAGAAAACAAGCTGCTCCTTTAATGACTCTCTTTCATCCTGATCAGAATCCTTCCCGGAAGATATGAATGCGGAAAACATAGAATGTGAGGCTCGAGCTACTTTTCTGTTAGGATGTCCCATATATCTGATTAAATTTGTAATAAGGAATCAAATTGCTCACCATGTTCTATATGAAAAAAAAAAAAAAAAAAAGTTCCCAAAAGATCAAGTTGTTCAGTATAGGATACAAGAACATAGTTGGAGCAACAACCTTCCCAAATACAGGGCTAGGCAAGCGTGCAATGCAAGTTGGAATGACTCGTAGGTAAAACAAAATGCGAGCAGTTTGAACCTCATCCTTGGACCATAAATATTCCATTTTCCGCAGGAAAGAAAAGTCTGGTAGACCACATTACAACTCATCAAATGAAAATATCATTAAAAAAATGAGAGGAAGACAAAACTAAATTTAAGGACCTCACTGCTGAAAAGTCAAATGTTAACATGAACTTTAGAGCTAAACTAGAAACTAAACCATACCTGGGCCATTCGTCAAGTCAACATAAGTGGGCATGGATCTTACTAAAGACACACAAGCAGAATCACTTTCCTGAACACTTACAACAATACCTCGAATCGTATCCATGTATTCTGGCAATCGAATGCGCCGGAAATACTCAAGACAAGAAAATGAAATAAGTATTCGTACTGATGTATCCATTTGAGTTTCCTGGTTAAATTTTGAATTCAACTTGTGCTTTGTGACTGCCAGTGCAAAAAGAACAACCATAAGAAAAGCAGACTCAGCAATTTTCTCCAGATCCCCAAGTACTTCATCCTCTTTACCACGAAGAACCAAAGCAACCTGTCGGTGCTCCATGTATATATGTTGACAGTGATCCCACACAAGATTCTCCATCATATGTTTGCTCTGTTCATCTACTGAAACATACAGATTGCAGAAAACACCAGTTATGGCCCCTGCTTCCTTAAAAGTAAGACTTTCCAGGTGTTCTTTGACCTCATTAATCCTCAGTACAGCTGAACTGCCATGCATTGATTTCAGTACCTTCATGTACAAACGTCTCAAAGGAAATATTTCGGTCAACAATGCAGAAGCAAGGCATATAAACAAAGGGGAACGAGCAGAGACCACACCACTTCGAGCCAATGCTACTGAAATACACTGTAGCAAAAGACTATCTGTGTGATCATTATCTGAACTGGTAAATCCTCTTGTTCTTGAAATTAAATCTCTTGCTACAGATTCTATCCGGTCTTCTGCAGATCTTCTCAGTCTAGAAATAGTGTCCAGACCAAGACCACTCACTATAGATCTATTTAAGGCCCTCAGTACTCCAGCTGCAGCCATGACAACCGCAAATGGAACATAATTTGCTTTTGTGGTCTCTAAAACATCCTGGCAAAAAGTAATAATTTTCTCTAAAGAACGAAAACTGCTCAAACCAGACATTACCCACTCCATCAAATGCAGAATCATGAGCCCGTGAGAAACACTACCCTGTGGCCCACTTTCCTTACCCCAAATACTCAACATGAAATCCAAAATTGTAACAAAATGAACATTCACTGAAGAACACAGAGCATACCCAATTCCAGCAAGCACATCAGGAATTAGTTCACTAAATGACCCAAGTACTTGGTACTCCTCTGCCAACAGCCAACAGAGCAACCCTAAGAAGACTGTTTTCGAGCTTTCAGACGCGGAAGGCGCAAAAGATAAAGAACCCAATAGGAGAACACCTTCAGAAAAGAGGTGAGGACTCTTCCGTGGGTTATATTGGGTTGTAGAGAATACATTAGAGAGAGCCTTTACAGCTGAATCAATGAGAACCGAAGAAGGTCTGGCTGATTTCCTGACCCATATATAGAGAAGCCTGAGAAAGAGAGTATAGGATTCATGAGGAAGAGAAAGGTCTGGAGAGGACAGAATGGAAAGTAGAAGCTTTGCTTGAGGCTCAGCAACATGAAGAGAAGTCTGAGAGTTGACAAGGGTCTTTAGAGATTGAAGATGATGGGATTGGAATGATTTGTGTTGGAGGCAGTCTCTAAGCTCAGCCCACGCTTGAATTATGGCTCTTGCAGATGAAGCTGAATAGTTTCTGGAGCTGAAGCTATTGCTCAAGCCACTGACACTCCTCAGCCAATCTTCAAGAAAAAGGGTAGGAGCTGCTTTTGCCATTTTACCAACTTCTAATTGTAACACTAATTTGCCAACATGTTTTTGTCAGTTCAAGAATCAATTTTGGCCATATTTAGCATTACTCCCCTGTCGTTGGGGTGCCATTCAAATAGAAAATTAGGTTACAAGCATACAATCATGAACATATTGAACCAGAAACCTCCATGAACAAGAGCTCAATTAGCATAAACTATTGAAATTCATATACCCAGTTGATTAGTTTCTGATCAAAACAGTGGAAGCCCACTAGTCCAAATGAGCCGTACCTTCAACAAGAGTTGTTGACTTGAACCTTAACTTCCCCGCCAGAAGCAACCCACAACCTCCAAAGCTCCAGTTTTGCTCACTATCAAAACTCAAACACAGAGAGAGAGAGAGAGAGAGATGAGAAGAGAGCGTTTCTAATCTTTATAGTCTTGGGCCGTTAGAGAGGCAAATTGTGTCTTTTCTGTTTTCATTTTGATCGAATTCTACATTCAGATCAGACGCTCCCTTACGAGAAGCCATCCGAATAAAGGCGCCCAAAACAAATGTTAGTCAGCCCATCTCCAATCATTTTCTTTTCTTTTTTTTTTCTTTTTTTTGTCAGAATGTACAATATATTTGAAAGAAATATAGTAGAGAAGAAAAACTCGTGGAGTGCATACGTCTAAAATATTGATAGTCTACAAATATGGAAATTTCGATGAAAATATCCGGATATTATTGATATTGATAGAAATTGAATAAAAAATACGGAAATTGTTAAAAAAAACTTGAAAAAATTTCTTGAAACTTTGGAGGATGTTTATTTAGTCAATTATTTATTACTTTATCACAAAAAATTGGAAGTAAATGCATTGCATAATGGGTTTCACTGATTTAAGTTGATTATATAGGGAGTTGACAAACACTGTGAGTGTAGAAAATATGTAGTAATTAATGAAAGAAGATTAAACACACCATAATCATTTATTTATAATGATTTACTACAATATTTTACACTTTATACATTGCATGGTAACATATATAAATGACTTAGTGTCCGTTTGGCATTGCTTATTTGGGGTGATAAGTGATTTTTAAAAAATTTTGGGAAACCCAACCCGTTTGGTAAACTATAAGAAAATAACTTATTATTAAAAATTGCTGTGAGAGAAAGCAATAAAGGAAAGCAGCTAATTCAATTTCTAATTATGTGGTAATCATATTTGAGGAGGCGCTGGTTTTAATGAAAATTACAAAATCCCGAAAATACCCCAATATGATTTCACGCTCTCCTCTTTGTGCATCTTCTCCTTCCCACGCCACAGAGCACTCTTCTCCTTCTCTTCCATTCTTCCTCCATTTTTTTTCTTGTTGGATCAATTGAAGTGCACTCCTAAGAAGCCATAAGACTCAAGTAAGAGGCATATTGTGTTTATTTCTCTTCAATTTCATTCTTCCCTCTTTCTCTTTAATTTTTAGGGTTCTATCAATTTTTGTTGTTGTTGGTTTTCGACAGTATGATGGTTGTGTTCTTAGTGATGTGTACGAAAAAAGAAATACAAGCATATTCGAAAAGTATGTGGGTGAGGTTAGGAATATGGTGAGATAAAGCTCGATTTGGGGCCAGGGGATTTGATATTTTTTAAGTTTTGGGATGTGCCATGGTTCTTTATATATGCAAATTGGACGATATTCTTCCAGAAATATAAGATCTAAAAGAAGTAATATGTCCGAAGTTCTGGAAATATGAAGGTGATAGAATTAGAAGACAGTTTATGGGAACCTGATTCTGTTTGTTGCAATAAACAGTGGGGCAAATATGGACTTGATAAACTGAGAGTGGTGACTGAACTTGCTAATGTTGGTCTGCAACAAGAGGCTATACTTGCAACTATTTTGCCAGAGGAGCCTGGGAGGTATGCTAATGGTGCCTTGGTCAACTGTTTTTTTCTTTTTTCCTTTCCAACTATAGTGTTCTTCATGGTGTGTACTGAATCACTTTGGTTGAATATCAATGAATTTAAATACAGATATAATTATGATAAACCGGCTGTAGTATTGTACAGATAAGCACTAGTCATCTTTTAGGTTTTACTAACATTATTTTGTTGGCGAGTAGATCATATCCTATTCTATTTGGGTTTTATTTATTTTTCCTTTTGTGTAGATATTACGTAATTAGGATTCCACTTATTTCCTAATTAAACCCTACTAGGGTTTGTAACCTGTATTATAAATACCTCCTTTCGGAGAATGAAAAACATATGAAAATATTCTACCCATATTATTTGACTTGGTATCAGAGCCGACTTTCTGGTGACCTGTGTGTGTTGTGCCCACCCGTGTTCTACTGTGTGCCCTAATTTCTTTAGGGTTCTTGTGCCTGCGCCTCTGTGCTGTGTTCTGTTGTATACTCTGCGTGATTTGTTGGGTTTCTGCTACAATCATGGGTGATAATTCCATTGTTAGTGTTGCTGCTGCTTCTGCGAATTTGCGTGTCTCTGACTCTATTCCAGGTACTGGCTCTAATACTTGGATAATTGACACTGGTGCTTCT